ATATCCATATATTTTGAAGCCCAATTTGAGGGTATTTTTGAGTCGAAACAATCTTCCCACTGAATTTTTGAGACGCGCCTTAATTCCAGGTGCAAGATTGACACCGTGTTGTCCATTAAATAACCGCCGCCCCCCTTAATAAATTTCATTCACGAGTTTTACCATTATCAGCCTTGTAGGCCTTGTTTTTATGAGAGAGATCAAAGGACCACCATTGGTGACAAGGGAGATCACCTTTCCTTTAATCACTGCCATGTCCTTGAATTCCAAGGGATGGCACATGATACTTACCATCATGCATGTCAGATATCTACAACCGAACTAACTGCCACAATAAATTAATTATAGGACCCTAGTTTTGTCTTAATACCATTCTGTACTAGAATTAGAATTGAAATTTTCCTCCTTTTCAAAAGATTATATACTCCAGCTGGTGCATGCACCTAGGACCTCAGATATTAGAGATGTAACCTTTCCAACCTTGAAAAAAAAAACAGATTGTTCATATTTTATGAGTGTATGTATAAAAATAAGGTTCTAAAATTGTAGGGAGATCATCTAATTTTTAGATGGTCGATCTAAGTGTTTTAAAACTCAAATTTTTAAAGTCTTTAGAAAATACTCATCTGGTGATTCTAAAGTGGAAAAAAAAGTCTTTTATCAGAGGAGAAAGTAAATATGAAAGGTACACATGCAAGAACTAAAAGATAGACATATGTGATCTTTTATCGGGGAATATATATATATATATATATATATTTTTCTTCACCCCTTTCTTTTGGCAAAAGATCACTTACATGTGGTCTTTATTATAATAAGATAAATTTCAAAATAAAATCAACATAACAATAAAATCAAGATCTTAACAACTTGATGCCATTGAAACAACTATGCACTATGCTTGAGAATAAAAGATAAGATTGCAAGAAATAAACGGTAGTGCCGGAGATTACATCAACCGAGTTTATTACACCCCACACCGAGTCACCACTATCCGATGGCGGGGGATCAATGGTCTAACTTCAATCTCGAACCGGGAAAACAAATTTCGGCCAAGCTACACCAATAGAACATGAACCCCTTTGATTACAAACTCAAACCCTAGGTGAATTCTCTTAGCAACCTAGTTTGAGAGAGATGGATTCTCTTTTTGCTAAACCCTAAAACCCATAGCCATAAATCCATATTTGAGAAATAGGAGAGAAGAACTCCATAACCTAAACCCTTAGGTTCTTTCACAATGTGGGAGAGAGAGATCAAACATAAAAGAGATAAACTTTCTTAAGAGAAAGAGATAGAAAGATACGGTGTAGAGATTTTTTTTGGTAGAGGCAATCTTTTTTTATAGGCTTGGAATAAAATTAGGGTTTCTTAGGATTTTGCTTGCCTCTTCTTGTGAGATTAAATATATACCGTCGATCAAAGGTGACTTATGGGGTGAGAGATCTGAGCCATCCATTCCATAGATGGGCCATCAATATTATGGAAGATGCATGAACCATTATCCCCTGTCCTAAACCATTTTCCCATCAATAGAAATTAAATAAATTAAATCTAATCAAAATATTATGCATACCATAAAATAGCACAAATCTACTCAATCTTTCCACAAAATCTTTCAAAGATATATCAAGTTAACATTTAGCTAATATCTTCCAACCATATGACCACATGTCATATCACCAAAAATAGGAAAGAGAATAAGGGTGGGGCGTGCCACCCAAGGGAGGCACTCATGGGCCCCACCTTCTAAATATATGGCGGTCCTATGTGCACAATGGGCCCCTATGATATTTTTATATATTTAAAATTAATAAAATAATTTTAGAATATTATTTGAATGTTTAAATAATTGTAAAATCAATATATTTACTTTTATAAATCCAAAGATTTTAAATCCAAAGATTATAAATAAAATATCCAGGAGTTTATAAAAATTCAAATAATAATCTTAAAATAATTTTCATCATAAAACAAACACAATTAAATTAATTTGATGGGAAAATGATCCATATGGTTTAGGAATCGACAATCATGGGGCACTCCACCTTCAACTGTGGATTACATACTACACTTGCTTTATCATACCGACTTAGTGTTTCCCATGACCCACAGTCCAAGCAAGGGCTCATTAGCGGGTCACCAAAGTCTGACCGATGAGCCAAGGGATTGCAATCTCAGTTTATGGATTTCAGGTTGGCCCCTAGAGATGAGTGAAGGTCACCTAAACCTGATGCGACCATAGCTCCTATGGTGCATAGGGGTATCTCTCGCACATGCATACGCTTCATCCTAAAATGTGGATTTCTGGCTTTTCCGAACGATCTATCGATATGCATGCCATGTGATGGTATATGGATGAGGTTTTGGCCCCTGTCTCTGTAGGCCACCATCACATACAAAGGTCACACAGTCCCTCGGCTCACTCATCCGGGCATGTTCTCCGACCTCATCAAGGGCCAACCCATAAACCCTCATCGGTTTGTTCTTCATGCTTAACATGGGTTTTTCCCAATCGACTAGCCTAGATCGTTAAGCATAGATCGGTATCAACAAATTATCGTTTGCTTAGTATAGTCTACGAGGGACCACACTCCCACTGAGTTCATGTTCCACTATATCATTTCATTTTACAAGCACTCATAAGGCCTTTAAAGGCCACATAAACCCAACATCTCCTACTTGGCCTTATAGGCCTTACATTATCTCTTTCTCACTTTCTCTCATTTCCATCTCTCTCTTCCAATTACAATCTCTCTCAAGCATTTTTACTTATTCTTTCAATACATAAATCATGGTTTTCGCCACCAATCCTTTCACAAAATGATTTATAGAGGTAACCCATTTTTCTCTTTGCTGTTCAGATCTCATCCCAAAAATGGTCGTCGCTCATATTTCACATTGCATCGTGAATCATGGACCTATTGTAACAAAAGATCATCACGTACCCTCATCGCATAGGGTCGTAGGTTCATGGGCTCAAAAGAGTTCTTCAAATAAGCCGCTCCCTTTTATAGCCATACAACCAGCATCAAACATTTAGGTTCCATGGGTGAA